GATCGGATAATTAATCTACGACATTAAGAGCTTCTCTCAGAATCCATATAGCACACATTTCTAAATAGTACATATTATAATGCTATGTAGATGTGGTGGAAGCTAGAAAGCCGAGAAAGTAGATTCGGTAACAAAATTCTCCAAGTCACAAAAGCTGAAATGACAAAAATCTGAGTAAAATTGCACAAAAATATGCACCAGGCACAAGTCATCCATGAATAAGGATGAATTTGCCAGTCTCGAGGAATTAGGAAGACAAAATAAAAAGGAAGCCAGACAGCAAGAATGATATGAAAAGATATTTGGCAGTTAATATAAAAAAATTAGATATAATGGAAAGGGTAAGCGAAAAAATGAGATTCAACCATGGCATTAAGATAATCACTTCTATTTTTCATGTCAAAAAAATGACAAGTATCAAAAGTCATTCTAGTTATTTCTTGGTGTCTCTGATAAGCATATAAGATCCAAGTAAACATTTACCTGGAAACTCTTTCTGTAATCATAAGAGTTCCAAACTCCATTTACACTGCCTAGAAGTATCACAATGAACAACAATGGGTTTTGTAAAACAAGCTATGCTGCATAATAACTTTCCTTAAAACAACAATAGATGCATATATAGGTTGCATTTATGTACTTTATGTTCTCTTCCCCCTTTCAGATAAGTAGAATCTGTGGATGATGCGAAACCATCGGCACATGTTAGTCAGGATTTCCTTTTCAGGATTCAAGAAATACTTAGCATAGGCCAAACATATATAGATCATACCAGGGGGTTCATCACTCAATAAGGAAACTTCATTAACTATACATGGTAAAGAAACATAGCAGATCAGAAAAAGAAAATTCTTTCATGTAAAGCATTGCAAAAGTCTTAGAAACTGGCTTGGCATTTTCATCTCTAGATTTTTTTGCCATTCTTGTAAAGCGCCATGTCCATCATTAATCACTTACGTAACCACTAGCCTTCTAAGAAAATACTATTGTATGTTCACATTTCCTTCTATGGATGTACTAGTAGCCTTTTCTTCAATTTCTCAAAAGGGTGCCTCGAGTCCCAAATCCATTTATCTACAAACTCCATCTTGGAAGTCCTAACAGTAATGCCATTGAAGTAGCTTCTTCTCTTCATTATTAAGGAATAAAAGCATTCGGTAAAACAAATACCAAAAAGATGAAGAAGACTACTTGTAGACACCAAGCTTTATGGCTTCTGCTAAATCACTTAAGCCACGAGATGACTTTAAGATCATCAGTGGAACCATAATTATGGACAATATACAAATTAGTGAATATTTCTAGTGTTTAATACAAAACAAAAGAAATTCCTATGAACTAGTTTTGTACATGGCAACTATTAGTCTTTCATTAGTTTTCACATAATCAATTTCAAGGATATACAAGCAAAATCCAATAAGCTCAAGTGATGATTAAACTTCATATATCCTGAAAGAAGGAGCCGTCTTAAAGATGTAAAACAATAATAATAGCAATTCCATAAGCAACAACCATTTTCTCATGTGATTCTGCTATTTATGCAAGAAAATGAAAAAAAGAAGCTCACCTTCCTCGATGTAGACCGAAAGCCCAAAATCAGTAGCCTTTAGCATAGCATTTTCATCCTTTGTCGCCAACAAGAAGTTTTCCGGTTTAAGGTCCCTATGCATCACCCCCATGAAATGGCAGATGTTCACAACATTAACAACTGCCCGGCAGATGGTCGCTGCCGCCCACTCCGAGTAATTCCCCTTGGCGATAATCCGGTCAAACAGCTCCCCTCCGGCACACAACTCCATGACAAGGTTCACCGAATCTTTATCCTCGTAGGCCCCCTTGAATTCGACAATATTTGCCTGCCCTGTAAGGTGCTGCATGATCTGGATCTCCCTCTTGATGTCCTCCCGGTCGCTCTTATTGGACAGCTTCCTTTTAGAGATGGACTTGCAGGCGTAACGGAGGCCAGTTGCATTCTCGGTGCAGAGATAGGTTACGCCAAATTGGCCACGGCCCAGCTCCTTCCCGAAAGTGTACAAGGACCTGACATCCTCGAAGGGCTTACCAAGGATGGTCTCGTGGACAATCAGGGGAGCCTTGGTGACCGCAGGGGGAGGGTGGTGGGTCACCGTTGCCGCCGCTGGCGGCGGCCGTGGTTGGTGCTGTTGCTGATGGTGGTGGCTATGGTGGGTTTGAGGAGGCGGTTGCGAAGGCTTGGCCGGCTGCTGCTCTTGCAGCTCTCGTCCTTGTGGAATTTGCTGCTGCGGCTGATAGGGCGGTTGGACTTCCTTTCGGTTGGAGTAGCCATTGGTTCTTCCACCGCCCGCAGGGTGGGCGTTCTTGCTGAAGCACTTGCCCATCTATCGCCAAGAAGATCTCAAAAACAACCCCCTCCCTGCCCAAGAAAACAAGAAACCAGGACTGGTTACAGACTGTCCTCCCTGAAACCACCTGCGGCGAACTCAAGAACCAAAAGAAAATATCTAGGTTTCAAGGAAAAGCCACGACAAGGACCGGCTCAATTAGTCCAAGAGCAAACCGCGTCCAAGAAAAAGAAATCCCTGCCTTGACAGAGCGGGCTCTGACCAGTTCAAGATCCAAGAGCGCAAAGGAATTATCCACGCGCAAGAGAAGCCGCGATCAGAGCCAGCTACAGCAATCCAAGAAGGGGAGAAGGAAGGGAACTCCCCAAATCAAGAAGCGCCGGATTGAAGAACACGAGATGATAAAGCACAAGGAGGAGGAGGAGGAGGAGGAGGTTTGAGATTGCGTACCCGTCAACAAATCCGACCTTTGCGAGGTTGCCAGCCGAACGAGGAGGCGAGGTTACGGATGACTCGTGGCTTGAGGGTGTAGGCGGAGATGGGAAGAAGGGGGTCGTCAACGGTGGCCAGTAAATAAAGAATTCTGGGCGTGACAGAGATGAAAGCCATCGTGACAACAACTATTGAATATAAAATAAATATAGATGAATTAGAGAGAGGATGGAAGAGAAAACCACAACACAAGAGTGACTTGAAACTAAGGTCACATACATCCCATGCTGTTGTTTCTCATAAATGTGGTAGAAAAGTGAAGGAAGAAAGATATGGCAGTCGATCCAACCGTAGGTACCAATAACTAACTGCCTGCCAACGAGATGACTCGAATCGTTATAAATGCTACAATGGAAATTTTAACACTTGTAATCCAATTTTTTTCCCCAAAAAATGATTCTACGATAATATATATAATAATAATAATAATAAGTTGTGCAGCTTATTACAGAGAAATGAACATACAATCGTACGAGATAAATTTTAATTTTGTTTCCACGAATGGTGACAAAGTTTGGTACGATTTTTGTTCTTCTTCTACAACAATAATTGTCACAGACAATTGTTGATGGTTTCTTCCTTGTTTCGTATGAGATTTTGCCGGTCTCAATAATTCTCAAGGAGATCAAAAGAAAAGAAGCACGCGCACAGGAGGTGAGAGGAAGCAGCACGTGAGATGGGACCAGCGCGGTGACTCGACTCTCTCTCTCTCTCTTCACCGTAGGAAGGAGCCACATGGAAGGAGCTGCCCATGTTTTGTTCTCATGCGGAGGGCAACACGATGACATGATGATCGAGGCTTGGTTAGGTATGGGATGGAGAAGAGAAATTTGGAGTGGGAGACTGGAGAAGAGACGGCAATTGTGGCTCCATCATCGTGTCCAGAAATGACCGGCCAGAGACAGCAACATCTCGTGAAGGTGACCTGCAGCAGAAAACGAGTCCGACATCGTTCGCTTCGTCAAACCTCGGTCTCATCATCTCTCACCGCTAACCTCCAACTCACGATGAGCTTCTCCTCCGCATATATGTATATATCACTCGGCCAAAAAACCCTGCGCGCTTGTGTGAGCACAAGCCCATGGATTCCTATGACGACGCGCTCTCCTTTTCGACCATGGCGCCGCAACCTCATGCAAGCAAGCTCGACGATGACTCCGCTTCCGGGAAACGCGCTCCAGCTGATCCAAGCTTTGCGTTCAGCCATGGCAGCGCTCCTCCGCCATCGCCAGCCGACCTCTTGTTCTCTAATGGGCAGCTCGTGCCGCACTTGTACGTGGCGGCTGAGGCCAGGAGGTCGCAGCTGCCGTCATCCAACGGTGACGGACGAAGAAGCAGTAGCGCGAGCGCAAGTGGGAGAAGCTGTCTGATAAAGGATGGCGACGCGAAGAACGCTGCAGTGACGCCAAAGCGCGTGTCGTTTCTGCTGAACGAGACAGGCAGGAAGAGTGCGAGCTCTGAAGGGAGCGCAGGCGTGAATCGTTGGCGGCAAGGGAGGAATGGAAGAGCGAGGAAGAAGACGACAGAGAAGCAGCAGCAAGTGAGGGTCTTCGGCTTCCTCGTATCAGCTTGTAGGGAGTGCCATGCTTTCCAGCCATCAAAGTATGTGGAATCTGGTAACAATCCTAGCAATATTTTTGCTGCTTAGTGTTGGATTTCTAAGAAACAGAGGTCAGAAGCGTTCGAGCTTCCATATAGATTAAGACATCAGTTTAAAGAGCTTGTGATGTCGGTGCTGATCGTTGTAAGAAGCTCTTTCCTGTTCCAAGATCAAGTAATACACAATCCTTTTTCCTATATTCCTTCTCTTTCCGATCATTGTTAGCTGCCTGAGAATTTCTTCACCTGTCGTGAAGAGGAAGAGGAGTCAGTGCAGTTAGTGAACTACTGATTACTGGCTTAATCCATGCTCTCAGCAGTTCTTAAGTGGTTTTGTGGATCTCAACTTAAGCATGAGCAGTGATGTTTCTTTATGTGCTTCGAGATTCTCAAGGGCATACATAAACTGCAACAAACATTCGGAAGAAGTGGAAGAAACTTTAACCTATGTTTATGTAGAGATTTGCATGTGAAGTATCCAAGACCAAATCATTCATCGCATTCAAAGAATTGCACAGAAATAATTGTTAGGGAGATTGTAGGATATAGCAAAGCTGGTTAAAAGATAACATCAGATGAAATGGAAAATTAGCAAAAAAAAAAATTTTTTTGATTGGTTAAATTCGACAAAGAATTGCCAACCAAAACCAGCAGCTTGTCATTCCAACTATAAAGATTTTTGTGCATTTTTGCCAGGGGTTTCTAGTTGCTTTTCTCTGTTAACTCTGCAAGATGAAACTATATTAGCTTTGTTCACATTGAATGTGCATCCAACATTATTTCTCAGGATTATGCAATCTTTTAACTCAGAGAATTTCAGATTGCCAGATATTAACTCCAGCCTGAAACCTCTTGCCTGCAAGTAGGGCAGGAACCATGTTTTACAAGCCACAAATCAATGCAGACCGCATGAAAAAGGTGTGTACAAATTGGCAATCTTCTTGCGTCTTCACCGTTGATGAAATCCTGTGAATATTCTTTGTATTAGACTTTGAAAAATGTAGGTAAGGCAGAACTTTATAAAATGAACGGCAAGAAGAAATGAAGATGTAAATGACATTAGGAATTTCCACCAAAATATTCTAAAAACATTTAACAATTAAGAATCTAAATGAAACAAATCAGAGAAGTTCAGAAGGAAAAAAAGGTTCCTTTGGTGAAATGTGTGGTTGTTAATTGTCTATGGCAATGCCTTTGGACAATTCACTCATGCCAGCAAGTAGGTTCTACTTAGTAGCAGAAAATAATGGTAGATACATGCATTTCCAACAGCAAGATGCAAGACAAGAGAGGGAACATATGTCAGTTTTTAGATCCAGATATGTCCTCATCAAATGTGTGTCTACTCCTCATCTTTACCTTCGACTTATTTTCTTCAAGAAGTAGGAAAATTTTCAAACATTCATAGAGTTAAATGCAGATTCCTTATTAAAATATTTGTAACATGGAAATTAATCTTGATGAAAGAACCTGGAATCAGATTAGCTGGGGACCTCCTCAACTTCTTTGTTTCAAGTAGTCGTTTACACTGAAACATTCACATAAGTCATATAGGGGGTGCAGATTTCTTGAAAATTTATAGCCATGGCACATTGCAATCAATATGAAGGTGTTTCGGTGAATGAATGTGTTGATAGTGTACTTCACAAACATACCTGCAGGCAGACGGCACAGCATATTGTCTTCCCACAAGAATCAATTGTCTCCTTAGGACTGATCTCAAACATGGGCAACTTTCTGATAACATTTGGTAATAGACCCTTGTCCTTGTTTACATCAAAGATATCTGAACTGTCTCTGTAGCTGGGTTCGGTTGCATTGATCTTAGATTAAGGATCTGCTATTAGTCGCTCCGATAATGTTTCTGTTGCTTGTGTTAAACTATAAAACTAAGAATTCCTATTTTTCTCAAAAGAATAAAAAGGTTAAGATAATACTTTCAATTAATCTTTTTTGAGGAAAGGAGTATCAAGTACTTACTTGCCATTGGTATGCTTTGAGCAATGCTGGGCTGACCCATTCTCGAAATATCTTTCCATCAAGAAGGCTGTCAAAGATGTCTAGCTGCAATTATTTTTTGCGAGGAAAAATAAATTAGTCTATATTGATTGAAACCATTCATCTTTAGGTATCTCATTTTATCACTCTCTTGTTAGGTAGGAATGTTAGCTTAGAGACACATCTCCGATGATGCCATCAAGTGAATCACTCTACTACTAGAAATTTAGAGCAATATCTAGAAAAAAAAGCATTTCAAAAAAATAAGATAAAAAACACACAAGAAAAATCTTTAAGACCATTGGGATTTCCATTTCCTAATTGCAGTCTATTGCTCCCAAGACTCCAGAGAGTGGATCCCCATTTGATATTCTGCCCAAATTGTTCCGTCTCTCTATTAAATTTCGATTAATGAGAACTAAGATTTGAGATCAAAATATATATTCTTCTTTTTTTCAATGTGGTCTCCAATGTTATATATATATATATATATATATATGTGTGTGTGTGTGTGTGTGTATAGATATATGTATACATACATATGTATACATATGTATATACATATTTATGTATATATATATATATTTATGTATGTTTGTTTTTCCACTTAGATTTTCTAAATCAAGACACTGATAAGATTGAGATCAATCCTATTCACCATTAAACAAAATTCATAAGATCCAATTGCCATTTACTAGAACTTTGTGGTTCATTACATAACACCCATTGACCCAAGAAAAGCTCAACAACATCACATCTAGGCAATAAACATAAGCAGCCTCATTAATTACCTGGATGGCTTCATTATCCATTTATTGCTAATTGAAATACGACAGGGATTAGGATAGTTGATTGTTGATATAATTTGCCCGTCTATCACAATCAGTGATGGATTTAGACGAGAACTGCATCTGCTATGTGACATGTCCACCCAAAATTTTAGGTGACATGACATCAGTCCCTCAAAATTCTTGATCCAACTATAGTGTTTTCAGACTCAGCCATGACTTGGCCACTCCTCTTTCAAGAAAACATGCCATTGCTTTTGGGATATTTTCAACGAATTTCTACTTTAATTTTCCTTTCCAAAAGAGAATGAAACCACTATGCCAAGTACAAACATCAGTTTCTATCATATACTTCCTGTGAGAAGGTAGATGGAGATGTAGAATCAAAATTTTCAATCCAGTAAACACTTTGTGAGTCACTGCAGCTGGTACTTCAGGGTTTTATTTTAGTCATTTTTTGATCCTGACATGTGCCTCACCAGCTAATTTTCTTCTCTGTTGTATTAAGGAAACATAGTACTGCATATCTACTCAAAATCAGCTGGTGCCGAAGGGGTGGGAACAAATAAATCTTGTCGAGGAACAAAGGAAAATGAAGAGTTTTCTTGGAAAGTGTGTATGTTGAAACTTGAAACGGTTCTACATTTGAGACTTTGTGGAAATGGTGCTCAAGGATTTGCCGAATTCTCTCGGTAGAAACCTCCCCTTCTTTTATCACAAGACTGTATTATCAAGATCTGGATCGTGTTATGTTGTTCTTGAAAGGAAAAAGAGCTAGGCTATTGGATATATAGCAATATCAAGGGTGCTGTACTCTTGGAAACACCATGATATACTCGATGAGGAAATCTCTAATTATTGTATTTTCATTTATCTCTAACAAGTAATCCAGTTGCCTATACAAAAAGAAGGGAAAAGGGGGGAAAGATCTGTCGGAGCAAGCTAGAAAGTTTTTAGATCTGACCTTGGATAAAATCTCTCCCTGGAAGCAGGATTCCAAGACGTCAACCGAGACGATTGCGCCGGAAATTGCTCCAATCCCAGCACCTCGGAACAGGCCAGTCTCTGTAGTTTGGCCCTTGACTGCACCTGATATCAACCCAACCAAGGATCCACCTGCATGCAAATAGCAAGCTGTCGATGAACGGAAGAAAAACGAAAAAACAACAATTCTAGGATGAAGTTGCTGTTTGCATGAACTCAAGCTTTTTTTCCTATACTATTTATTTTGAGCTCTGATTAGTCTCCGTTATTCTCTTCTTTTGTTTTTACAGAAATTTTTCAAGAACTATTCTTTCATTTACATCTGCAAATAGACATGACTAATATTGTTTAACTGAGGAAAAAGAGAGTAAGATACAGATAATGAGGTCTTACACAAAGCAAAGGTGCAAGTAAGGACAGCGAAGGCTACTTTCCTCACAATTTTCACGCAGAGAAGCCAGTGTTCAAAACCGGAGTGCTTCCACCATAAACCCTCCATTGTGTGGTTTTAGACCTTCAAGACTGTGATTAGACGAAGCATTCACAGGGGAAGAATTTATAGAGACGAAGAAAGCAAACAAGGCCAAAATGGATCCATGGGAGGAGATGAGGCATTTAATATCTGACAGATACTGCATGTGCGAGAGGTGACATGTACATCCTATACCAAATACTGGCGTGGTTTCTTCTCGCAGTCTATCTATCAGGAGAGTAGATGAGCATTAGAAAACTTAAAAGACCAGGAGGCCAAAACGGTGGGCTGGCACCGAATCTGAATTGGTGTGCGAGATAAAACATTTTTTGAGGCAGATGTTGCCATATCAAGCGGCGCCTTCAATGCCGTTTGCAACGGTGGAAGGAGACTCGGCAGCTGCGGGCAGATGCAAGTACCAAGAATGGTTCTTGGAGAAGGCGGCAGTAAACTTCACAGGTACGCATGCTTCAAATGGTATCCTTCTACGTAGGTAGCGAGCCCACAATTATTTTTGGATGCCTCCGACATAAATACCTGCACAGAGTTGGTTGAAGGGTAAGCGGCAGACTTGGCTGTTCTTGTATGAATTCACTTCTGCTGCAACCTTTGGGTCATAGAGGAAGAACCCAGTTAGTATTCTTCTACTTTGCTAAATGTTTCTGGACCTGGCAAGCAGCTACTTTTGTATCTATCTATGTACATCTTGTTCCCTTGATGAGATGGACCTTCCCTTAATTTACAATGGAGGAATCTAAAGCTGTATCCCCATACTTTTTCTTTCTTTATTACTGATAACTACAAATAATTTTGAGGCTTGCAACTTCTAGCAGCCCTAATCAAACTGTGTCTACTGCATGAACATGAAGCTCTTCATGTATTACAGATATGAGCCACCAGGAACCACTAGTCAAGGACGAAGAGCTCAATAACTATGTGCATCGATCTGTCCTTTGCCAGGTAGTAATCCAAGAAAGCTACACTTTTAGACAATAGATTCAGTGGATTTTGGCATCACTAAGCACCGAAAGAAGCTTCAGTGTATGCAATGGGGCAGAGGCATTCGCTTGGTGAACCTCTCTCACCATCACAAGAAAATAATTCCCCGGGGATATCACAGTAGAAAACTAATATTTTTGGGATCGTGCACATTCCGTGCACCACAGAGTTGACTTCAGCATCGTTTGTCACTCATGATTATGCCTTCCACTACAAACCCACAAAGCTTTGATACATCCGAAACGAATGAAAGAAGATGAGTGGCAGAAGAGGTGGAAGAGTCCTACCCGTATCTACCGCAGCCACAAAGAAGGGATCCAACATCAGGTGCATGGACAATGAGCTCAGGGAGGAGGAAGAAAGATAAATTCCTTTAAACAGCAGTATCCCTGCCTTCTCTCAATCACACTCGCATTTAGTAATAAAGAGTTCCACCTAAACTTCAATTCAATTTCAATCAAATCAAACAAAAATCAAGTCTAATTTCGAGCACAAAAATCAGATTTAAATTAGCTCTAAATCTTAAAAGTATTAAGACTCTTTTAAATCGTAATCTAATTATGACTCTATCCCTATCTCATCTATATAAAAGGAGGCAAGCCCTATCTAAAACATTTTCATATCAATTCAATCTCAATCCTAGTAGAACTAGGATTATGATAATCCCTAACCAATTAGGACAACCTCCAATAGAAAACTCCTACGATTACAAGGAACTAAAGATAAGTTCTAATCATATTAGGTCTTTAGATGCCATCAATTCTATAAATCTAAGGATTTGTAGTCCTTATAAAACCTCTTGAAAGTAATCTAAGTGGTGCCTCCTCTTAAATTCTTAACTGAGAAGAAAAGAAAAAAAAGAGAAAACGCAAGTTCAATGGTCATTTTGCTTACTTGCAATGTAGAGGTCTTTTTTGAGTTACTATCAAATGCAACCAAATAGCAATTTTAATCAATCTTAGCCTATCAACTTATACCGAGAGCTAAAAGAAGAAGAATGTATACATCCATCGGTCAAACAAATAAAATGTCTCTTCCTTAAAAAAAGATGATCATAATATTGGTTCTTTTCCTATCAAACTTATTTATTATGGAACCATGAGTGTCTCATCCATGGGCACTCACCCATCATCCCATCTTCCTAATCTCTTTATATGTGTATATAAATCATCCTTATTTGATCCAAGCACTATCAAATTGAGATTAATATTATTTTTTCTTCGACATTTGGCTCAACATTGAAAGCAAACAATTTGTCCTCCAAACTCCACACGGCCAAAGGACTTCTCCACTAACCACGTCAAGAATTCTCCTTTTCTTTTGTTCTTTTTTTTAGAAAGAGGGATAAAAGTAGAAAAAAGAGTGCTACAGCATTTGGCCCGGTTCGGGTCGGTTCAATCTCAACCGAAGAAGCCGGTCTGGCTCCAGACTGTGTCGCGGACCCGGCTCATGTCCCGGCCTTTCAGTGTCCTCCCCACACCCTCCAACACCGAAGTGGCCATGCTCTTCCCCTGCGCCCGCGCTAGGTACTCATGCGGCGGAAGCCACTCCCCGTCCGCTTCCTCTGCCTCCTCCCGATCCGGCAAAGGCCCTTCCCAACCGGACCGGAGCGACCGCGACCAGGCCGGCACATCCACGGGCGCCGACGACAACGACGACACCCGGTGCCGCCCCCGCGACACCAGCTGGGAAGCCGCCGGCCCCCAGCATGCGTCCTCCAAGGCGAGCGAGAGGCCGCTGACTTGCCGGTCGTCCAATCGACGGGATCGGCCCCTCCGCCGGCCAGGATCACGCTCGTCTTCGTCGGCGGCGGCGTGGAAGGCGGGCCAAACATCATCCTCCGCGATGTCGGGGAGGTCGGAGGCGCCGCCACCCGGGTGGCCGCTCCCGCCTCCGCCGCAGAAATGGGCAGGCGCCGCGAAGAGCCGCTCCGCCCCATGCCTCCTCTCCTTGGTCATAACCGGCCTCGCCCGTTCCCCCGCCTCGACGGAGCGCACGTGGCGAACGCAGACAGGCCCGACGGACGGTGAGGTACCGCCACATGGTCGCGAGAGAAGGTGGCGTCGTTATATATAGCGCAAGCCATCGATTTCGCGCTCGTTTCATTTGAGGTTGGTTTCATTTCGCCGGCTGTTTGGTGGTTCCTACTCGGCGCCGGGCCCCGCATCATTCCATCCTACGATAACTTCCAAACTGGTGCGCCTACATCCACGTGGGTACTTGGTGGGGTGGACCAACTAGTGGTCGTCCCGACGCTTATCTTTCAGTTACAATGCCTACAAAGGTTTTTAAGCTAATGTTTAAACTAAATCACCATATCATTCACTTATCATCTCTCATAATCACTAGTCAATTTTTATAGTATATTGCATCATAACAAGAGATAGCCCACCTGCACACACACACACCACCATGTGTGATCACCATTCAGAGTCTGATCAACAGTGATGCAATTGAAAAGAATAGGAAGGGACAAAATAAGCCACGACACAAATAGATAATGATGGTCACAATGTCTGGACAAGTTCCACATTACCCATGGATGACCAATCACGACAAAGTGACACGACCCAGTTAATTGAGTTAGCAGGGATGACACGAGGCAAATTGATGGATAATGAGACCTGATGGCATTCGATTGCACCATTGTGAACTAACGGATCCTGTTGGTAATTAGTGATTGGGTAATCTCTGAGGTTAGTAGGTGTGTTAACATGGCAATCGGAACAAGAGGATTTTGGGTCAAGTGGGGCAGATTGGGCGGTGGAGAGGGAGGGGAGGGAGGAAGACCAAGACCCCAAGGCCCACCTAGCTTTGTCCTCTGTGAACTAAACTAAAGGCCTCGACTGCCACACGGCTCAATAACCCGTCCCATCTCATCACAGTAGCCTGTCCTCTTTCTCCACCCAATGTTCCACTGCACCCAAGCGCAGATCTAGCTCTCGATCTGAGATTGTAGCAGCTCGAGTTACCCCAACCCTCTCTCTCCAATCGAGTGAAGAGTATTGCCATGCGCAAAACAGATCAGCTAAATGGCAAAATGGAGATGACATGTAAACCATGAAAGACCAAGTCATGGTTTTACGGATCCTACCATATGCAACTAGGGAGACAAACTTTATTAAGAAATTAAATTGGTATATAGTATATATAGGAGTCTAACTACCATCAGTTTCGCTAGATGAACAATGAAACAACTGCAAGAACACGAAAGCTTGGAGAATAAGTAAATATGAGCAGCGGTTGCATCATAATATATATCTGTAGAACCTGCAGAATCTACATGTATGGCATATGTTTTTTCACCATGCATTGGATGGAGGAACAGTGTTTACTTGGTACCTTGATGCGAGCTAGTATAACAGCCTCTTTTTGGTGACAGTGACCATCATGGACTGAAGCACTCCACCAGTGAACTCTCAGCAGCTGCTGGTCCCCCAGATTGCCTCTTCCTGCCAATATACTTGAGGCGATCCTCTGTGGGTCACATTGCCCAACACCACTGGAAGCCCGCACGGGGGGCCCAGTCTAGGAACTGCCATCCTGAGCGGGCCCCACGTCTCAGAAGCTGGCCGTCAGGGTTGGAGCCAAGCAGGACGATGCAGTGGAAGCAGGGCTTTGGACACAATTATTCTGATTCTGATTTCTGAAATCAGAATCTGACCTGCTTCTGGACACAATTATTCAAACTCACCTAAAGCTCAGCTCCTTAGGGCTTTGACTGGGGCATTAGTGTGTACAGATGAATGTGACTGAAGTATTGTCATATACTCATGAATGTATATTGGTGCTGGCATGTGGGACAAATGATTCGAAGTGGGACTATGGTGCATGACAAAGGCTCCAAATTTTTCTCATGACATGTTCTAAGAGAGGACTTGGAAGGGGAATGTATAAGTGAATAATTGGTACCCATTGCAGTACTTCCCATTGGTACCCATCGTTGTTGGGTGATCAGCGCATTGGAGTTAGTGAAATAATTGTGCCTAGGAGGGTGAGCCATCCATGAAATAATATAACTCCACATAAGATGAACTTTAATAGCAAGCAGGAGACCTGTCTTTGAACCTCAACAAAGTAACAAAAGCATGTCTTCAACAACTCATAATATGATGATATGTTTATTCTAATAACGTCACATGATCATGACATTGAAGAGCAATTATAACAAACAAAAAAAAAGCAATCACTCACCTACTACACCAAGTGACACAGAAGTGTCTAATTTACTATAATATGATCATATGAACCTTGATTATGATATGGTATTTTTTTTCAGCCAATAATGATGTCTCATGATCTTTAACTCAGCTCATTCAAATATGACAACTTATTAGCATATTCCCTACACAAAGGTAAAACTATTTCAAGGTGCTTTTCTTCGTGACAAAGGAATACATTAAAAGAGTTGGGCAGTAGTTATAAACATGTCTTCATAATCAAAGAATGCATTAAAGGAGTTGGTTAGCAACTATAAACACTTAATTTTGAAATTTCTTATGCATGAAGGGTTGTTTCATACACTAGTATTTATTTTGGTATTTAGGACTTATAAAGAACTTTAGAAAACTGATAATATCTTGGTAGAAGCTCTCTTGGAGAACTCCCTTAAACTCTGTATCTCTTGGATGCGTTGAGTGGTGAGTCTTTTGATTTATGTTTTGTATCCTCGTTTATAATCCTTGGGGTGATGAATTTCTATATCCCTTTGTGATTTTAACTTGGTGGTGAACTATTTTTCGATCTTCTTTAAGTTTTATTGTGAGTTCGTGCCTTTTCTATTCAAAACACTCATTCCAGCAAATACAATTGTACTGCGACTTTTCTTCAAGAGTTCATTCTTTGTTTACTATGACATTTTCTATTTGAGAAACTGTTGCATCGGTTTCCTTTCGAAATCCATTCTGCATTTTACCCTCCCCGATATCACCAAGTAATAGTTATGTAACATTCCTCATATTTTTTAAATTTTATAAAAGCTTGTTTGTAACGTAGAGACCTAAATATAAATATTAGAAATATAATATGATTTATGAAAGATTCATATTAAGTTAAAAAAAATGATGGACATGTGTCACTAGCTAACCTAAGGTTGATGCTACATAACTTTATTCTATGGATGACACATAAGCCTCTTTCATGCATGCATGTCATCTTGTAATTCTTATATTAGCCAAATCAAATGCATTAAAGGAGAAAATGAAATATATGCTACATTGACGTTTGAGCTTCTGTTTCATATTTATTCTTTGATATGTTCCAAAATGCCTCGTATGTCATTGATATGCTTCGAAATGTTTCATATGCTATTGATATACTTCGAAACATTCCATACACCATTGATATGCTCCGAAATATTTCATATGTCGTTGATATGCTCCGAAACAATTCATACGCCCTTAATATGCTCCGAAATGTTTTATATGTCGTTTATATGCTTCAAAACATTTTATACGCCATTGATATGCTTCGAAATGCTTCCTATCCCATTGATATACTCTGAAATGCTTCTTATGCCATTAATATGTTTCGAATATACCATTGATCTGATTCAAAATGTTTCATATGCTATTGATATACTCTGAAACATTTCTGATATGCTCTGAAATATTTCATATGTTGTTGATATACTCTAAAACATGTCATACGCCCTTGATATGCTTCGAAATGTTTCATGTCATTGATATGCTCTGAAACATTTCATACGCCCTTGATATACTCTGAAATGTTTCATATGTCAGTTGATATGCTCCAAAACATTTCATGTGCCCTTGAAATGCTTTGAAATGCTTCATGTGTCATTGATATACTTTGTAACATTTCATATGCTATTGATATTCGAAATGCTCCTTATGTCAATGATATTCTCCAACTAATCTTACTCCCTTGTTATGAACAAAACATGCTTCGAATGAAATGACATTGTAATTCTACATTCGTTGAGTGACTATCTATGAACTCTTGTATCACTGCCTTGTATTTGGTACCTTATTTGTTTGAAACTGTCCTCTTTCATCATGGATATGTTAGTCGCTTGCTGAGTTATATATGCCCACTCCGTTGCTATATAAATTTTTCAGGATAGCTTGTCACTTGCTAAAATGTTTAAATTGAGCTGCGACAGTGGAAAGCTAGAAGAGTTTGGGCAAACTTTTAGTGGATGATATATTTTTGTTATATAAGTACACTTGGTGTCTAATAAAATGTTTGATAATAAATTTGAACTTATGAGTTTTGTAAAAGTTTAAAGAACCTCTCTTGTTTAGGATATTGGAGTGTTAAGTTTAATTTGTGTAATGATATGAATATATGGTAAATATTGATTTTGTGATTATGTAGAATCTCACACTTGTGGATTTATGAGGTGGTTATTATCTTTGTGAGTTGATTTCAGATTTTTTGATTCATTGAGTGATGTGGTATATGAATTTAAACTGCACGGGTTTTATGAAATGTGGAATTATGAATGTGAATGACTTGTTGTTGAATTATAATATTATCGAATGGGTGTTTTTTTGGATGGTTACTAATTAGAAGGGCACTCCTGTTCTCTCAAACTTTCTTGTTAACTTAAAAAGGGTTTACTAAATAGATTACAAGAATGATGGAACCAAAAATCTGGTCATAAGAAATATAATACATGCAAAATGTCATTGAATCTGCTGGAAAATTGTCACCATTAAACACTCACCTTTGGCAATGTGACGACCAGCACGAACATGCCTCATGGCAGCATCTCTTTGTATATTAAGGTACAGTAAGCACAAGCAGATCATACTAGTATCACAACAGTGATAAATAAATGACCACTCTAAGCTTGATAACTGCTCCAATTACACCTGAAAAGGAGTAATATATAATGAACACATAAATGATTAATATTTGATTAGCCAGAATGATAAAATTTTTACCACATTGAAAGAAGTATTAAATGGTTTTATTACATGTAAATCTTATAAGACAATTTGAATCAGAAGCTGGACAAACAGGACCTGTCCAACTGCAAATTGTAGTGTCAGTTGTGAAACATATACCTTACGAGGTATTAGGCCATCAACCTGCCTAAACAAATGAATAATTTGGGTCCACCAGGGAATACCTAAAGTCATTGTCTAATTATCAAACCAATTTAATGAATTAATAGAATCAGCTATCATTTAAAAAGACAAATCACAGCATCAGTTGCATAGACTAGTGATTAATGTTAATTTACAGCTTCGTGAATTGCAGTGTAATTCTTGAATTGCTCAGTGATGCTCCACTTTCAAAATGTTATGAGTGACCAGAATATCTTCCCAAGTTCAGACGTAACATAGGCATCAATCTTGGACGATTGTGTTACATAATGATTGCCTATGATACATAAGACACAAAGACTACACCTGACAAATTTTTATTGAATATTGTTAGATAGTGCATAACTGTTTTATTGCTTTGGCCAACATAAATAGGGATCATTAACTTGTGAGGAAGGTGAATCATTTCAAGAAAGTTTGGTCTGACAAAGCTACTAAATTTACCTTGAGTTCCAACTATAAACATTTGTGCGAAAAATTGCAATTTCAGACCAAACAGCAAGGCACAAATCAAAGATTGCAAATGAATCTTGAAATTTTCCTTTTGCAAATCAGATACATAATCGTCCATAGCATGGTATCAGGAAGTATTATTAGTGATCCCACTATCAAAAACATTTCGTATTACCCATGGTATCTGGAAAACCTAGTGGACAAACTGCAAGTAGAGGTGCAGAAGAGGAAACAAACAGAGCAATCACTAACAACGTAGGAGTTAATAGAAGATCAAATATAATTCACATAAAATCTAGGTCATTGCTTAAAGTTAAAGCACTCCGAAGATTCAATACAAAACTCTGCAAGTGAAAGTTTCTCATCAAATGTGAATCATAGGTCAGAATGCAGATTAAGGTTGCCAAGAAAATGTTAGTAGGTATGCTGACACAAATTCTCGACATGTAATTCTAACAAGAAAAAAATATATGTTTGGGGTTTTTAGAACAAATAAGTGAATTTGTAGAAATCTGAGATAAGCTAGCAGGCTGTGCATACGCATTAAGAAGCAAATATAAAAAAGAAAAGGAAATTGATTGTGAATCACTTAATTAATCAAGGACTTTGAAGAAGTAGAGTATAAGGTTGAAAAACATGAACAGTCCTTTGCAACTACCTCCATTGACAGTGTAGCTAAATATCTGTCTCAGCACTTATGCTGCAGATGATGAAGCATAGACACCACTCGTAAAACCATTGATATCATTTACAGGGCAGGAGTATTTTGTGAGGTTAGACGGATGAAGTGAGCAAACTTCTTGAAGATAATTGGCACTCTTGATTGCCAAGAATCTGCTGGATATCCAATAGCCAATAATTTGCATGAGCAAAGCCCATACAGAGTATCCATGCTTCACTTGCTTGATTGCCCTAATAGCTCAATCTCCCCGAGCGAATCGATCGCCACGAGAACATCGAAATCCGCAAGATATCAGCACCAAACCAACAATCATCCTCGCAATGCCATCAAAACTTTCGACACTAAACCCAGAAACCGAGGATACAAGAAAAATAGGCGAGCAAACAGACGATTCTTAAACGGAGAACAAGAAGCAGAGTTCACAAAGAAAGAAAAGGAACTCGACTCACAGAGGAGGAAGAGAAGGCCGTCGAGTAACCCTCGCTCTGCGTTTCCCTTTCCCTTCCTCGAAAAGAGAGAGAGAGAGAGAGAGAGCTGCTTCCACCAGGAAATCGTTACAACAAACTACCTAACATGAACGACGTCATATTTGTGATGATTTCGTTATATTACATAATTACCCTGAACCTGTATTTTACTCATAAAAAATATAAAAATTGTTGGGAAGGATTAGTGGCTTACGGTTGACCGAACAGTAAAAACTGGAAGTAATAGAAAATTACAAATTTACCTCTGTTGACTATGGTTGATCATAGTTGACCAGTCAACTTTCTCTTGTTCTCCGCGGCCGCTGCAATGAGCACAGTGACCGGCCTGCGACAGAGATCGCGACCGGACGTCGGAGACGAGGACGAGAAGCTTTGGTCGGATTTGGGTAGAGTAGTGTTCTTCTCCTCTCTTCTTCTCCCTCACGACTTCACCCTCACCCCTTTGCTGCCCTCTTCTTCCGCACCCTTTCGCTACGTCTTTTCCCCTGTGTTTCTGCCGTTCCCCAAAGGTCCATAGAAGCGAGGAACTCTTTCACCCTATCTCACTTCTTCTCCTCAAAGCTCCGTTTATAGGAGCGAGGGAACGAGGGCTCGCTTCCCGCGTGGGCGGCTGCGGCATGAAACACCTGCGTGCGGCGGTGCGCGAGGGCAGCAGGCATGCCGGGGGGTTTGTGCGGCGGTGAGCGACGCCCCGCGTGAGGGGGCCACGATGGGGCCCGCACAATGGGATGGTGACGGCCAACATCCCTAATTTACTTTAATTTGAGTCAATTTCTACAAAAATAATATTAAATAAATTATTTCTTAAACTTATCGAATCCCATGAGCTTTTAGGCATCCTGTTAATAAGTTAAAAGTATATTTTGAAAGATTATAAAATAATATTTTATATTTTAAATAAGATTATATAGAGTTTTAGGAATAAAAATTTTTAGTTTCAAATATATTGTAAAAGATTTCAAATAAGATTATATAGAGTTGTAGAGATTAGAGACTTTTATAATTAATACTTATAGATCTATGATGTACATGTAGATCAATTAATACCTCAAAGTACTCAACTCAAGTGTTAGAGTCAGTAAGTATTTTTTTAGAATTTAATTAAAAAAATTAAAAGTTTTTTTTTAATTTAAAAAGTTCAAATTAATGTGAAAAATTAAATGATTGTACGTTGATATTAATAGAGAATTCACTTTTGGTAAATTCTTCTCTTTTTGTAAATAGTATGGTATCAAAAGAGAACTTACATGTAAATATATCACAACAAAATGATGTGACTGACTGAAAGATTTAATATTTTATAAAGATTTATAAATGTAAAAATTTAGCCAAGGTCAAATGTATGACATATGCAATTTATATTATTAATCGAACTTCTCTTAGTTCAATTAATCTGAAGTCTCCGTATGAGCTCGATAACTAAATGTTAAATATTTTAAAGTATTTGATTCTTCGTGATATGTTAACGTACCAAACTAAAAAAGAACAAGTTTGTTGCTAAAGCTAAGAAATATATTTTTATTAGTTACGATGAAAGAAAGATTGAAAATATATGAATCCGTAAGCACAGAGTTATATAGTATATTGAGATATTGTGTTCGATGAAATTTTTTTTTATTATTTTTTACTGGTAATTTATTTTAAAATTATCAATCACAATAGAAGTGATATATGTTCAAAAGTTATAGTTGAGATTTTTTTATCATCTAATGCTTCCATCAATTTTGGCTCATCTCCTTCCTTATCTATATATACTTCTATTATTTCTTTATTACCAATGATGAAGCAAAGCGATCGGAAGAGTAACGATGTTCATAAAGAGAAAATCCCAACATCAAAAAGATAAAAAAGAATAGTTATCAAAATAACACATTACCAAAGATAAAGATAATGTAAGTATATATCACTTTTTTTTTTTTCTGAACCAATTGAGTCTATTTGTTTTAATAAAGCTAAAAGTGTTAAATTATGGGAGGATGCTGTGAAAAGAAATAAATACTACTTATAAAATTGAAAGTTGGGATATTCTGTTAATGAATATTGATTTCTACGAGGAATTTGATGATATTTTTTATTTATACAAGTCTATTCTTGAATTTGAATATCGTATAGATATCGTGCCTTTTACACGAAGTCTTGCTAGAAATTTTAATGATCTTCCGTTTTGTAAGTTTGGATCAGGATCTAGGTCAAGAGTCATTTTAGATAGTCACACAAGTTTTCGAATGTAACAACTTGATTCAGGTAGATTTCTCGACAGTATAATGATCTCAATAGTAACATTCACATAGAAAAAAATTTTGATCACGGTCATATTTTTATAGATGATCTCATACTTGGTGGTAGTTATGGGCGCGACCTTGCATATCAAATTGAGACTTATCTACAAAAGTATATTTTAAAAAAGAATATTAATAAATTAAAATATATTTTAAAAGATCATAAAAATAATATTTTATATTTTAAATAAAATTAGATAGAGTTTTAAAAATAAAAAATAATTTAAAATATATTTTTAAAATTTTTTAAATAAAATTATATAGAATTGTAGAGTTGCAAAGATTTTAAATAAATTAAGTGACATCTATATGTAGATCAATTAAAGTCTCAACTATCCAACTCAAATCTATATTATTATTTCAGAAAAGATTACACTTGTAATCGCCCCCTCCCTTCACACACAACAGTAACGGAGGAGGACAGCAGACCGGCTTTCGATTATTCACCCTCCACACACCATCCGGTGCTCATCCTCCACCCAACTCATTGCTCACGGTCTCATCTTCTGACACGCAATCTTAGCCGACTCCTATCTCGCATCGGCTTTCTTGGCCAGAACCAATTTCTACTCTGTCAGCTGTCACCTCACCGGCGCTGCCAAAACATCATAATTGACATGCCAACAAAAAACGCACAAAGACTTAATTTTTGGTGTCTGAACTTTCAAATCCGACACACGTTATCGGTTCTTAAACAAGCAGTAATTGCAGTGGAAGAAAGATTGCCAGGAGGAATAAGATTAAGAAAAGCTGCAACACGACTGCTTCATAATGACCTTTACTTGTTCCGACTAGTTTAAGCTGAATAATCCGATTTGGTCAGCTCCCGATTATTCGATGAATCTTATGCAGAAATGTTTGAAGATGACTTGGCTGATAATTGTTGGTTAAGCAGAAGAGAGGGGAAGAGAGAAAAGAGACTCCACATCTTGATTTACTCTATTATAGTAAAAGCCATCATTAAAGACGACAGTGATGATGATAGCGGTGACGGCTACAATTGAATTCGTTCAGCGATTGTCCTTTTTCCCAACTCTATCTAGAAAGAATGGTGGCACGGATGATATGCGGTCGCCTTTTGCTGCACCGACCTTTCTTTTTGGGACCTTTTGCAATCATTTACTCTGTGTTTTATCCTCTATTAAACCTAAAATTAAGGACCAATTTCTTGAAAAATTACTAACTTTTGTTTATCGTATAACTTCGTATTTTTCCCAAACGATTACAATAGGATGATTTTTCCAAACACATCCTTCTTTTTATCTTTTTCTAATAGCATCTCCTCCTTTAAAAAACAGAGAGAGAGAAGGATTCATTTCTATGACGCGGCACTTGTATCGATTCAGCTTCTTGGGCTCACTACTCGGCTGCTTTCGCCGAAGTCAGCAGTAAACATGTGCATCCCTGAGATCCATTTCACCAGACCACTCCGTGGCAGAGGTGGGGTCAGTGATCATATTATGTTGAAGTTGTCTTTTTATGATGTGATATGATCAAATATAACGAGCGATAAATATGCCATTTCAGAACAATTTCCGAGTCGCGCAGTGGTACACGACTCTCTCTATGTACATGTTGTTCTCATATGCGCCGTCGCATTTACTTTCGGTGATTAGGTAGAGCGAGGCATCCCAGCCTCCCTTTTCTACAGTGTCATATAGGATGGATTCTGCTGCCGCGCTCTCCTCCCCTCTGTTGTCCCCCACCGGCAACGACGACGTTGACCAGCCCCTGCCGCCGTCGACGCCTCCGGCCATGGCCGACGAGGGCGAGGCCCACGGAGCCAGCGGGCAGCTGGAGATCGTGCTGAACGACGCGTCCATCCCATGGGCTCGCCGCATGTGGCTGGCCTCCCTCATCGAGATGAAGCTGCTGGTCTTCCTCGCCGCCCCCGCCGTGATGGTGTACATGATCAACTACGTCATGTCCATGTCCACCCAGATCTTCTCCGGCCACCTCGGCAACCTCGAGCTCGCCGCCGCCTCCCTCGGCAACACCGGCATCCAAATCTTCGCCTACGGCCTCATGGTAATCCGCTCACCTTCACCTTCCGTGGTTGCCTTGAATTCTCCGACCCGGAACCCTTGTGCGCATGACGACAACGGTGACTTTCTATCAGCCATACAAATCTCTCTCGCGATCTATCGTCTGATAATGACACACGTATTTGTGCTGCGGGTCTCCGCCTCGTGTTCGACGTCGTGAACTGAGTCAATGCGGACTTTTGTGCAGCTAGGAATGGGGAGTGCGGTGGAGACGCTCTGCGGGCAGGCGTACGGAGCCCACAAGTACGAGATGCTGGGAATATATATGCAGCGGTCGACGGTGCTGCTGATGGCCACCGGCGTGCCGCTGGCGGTGATCTACGCCTTCTCGCGGCCGATCCTGGTGCTGCTGGGGGAGTCGCCGGAGATCGCCAAGGCGGCGTCGATCTTCGTCTACGGGCTGATCCCGCAGATCTTCGCCTACGCCGTCAACTTCCCCATCCAGAAGTTCCTCCAGGCGCAGAGCATCGTGGCGCCGAGCGCTTACATCTCTGCGACCACGCTGGCGGTGCACCTGTTGCTGAGCTGGGTGGCGGTGTACAAGATTGGGCTGGGCCTGTTTGGGGCGTCGCTGGTGCTCAGCCTGTCGTGGTGGATCATAGTGGCGGCCCAGTTCATGTACATCGTCACCAGCCGGCGGTGCCGGTTCACGTGGATGGGGTTCACCTGGCAGGCCTTCTCAGGGCTGCCCGAGTTCTTCCGGCTCTCCTCGGCCTCCGCCGTGATGCTGTGCTTGGAGACCTGGTACTTCCAGGTCCTGGTCCTCATCGCCGGTCTGCTGGAGAACCCTGAGCTGTCCCTTGATTCCCTTTCTGTGTGGTGAGCACTTGGCTTCTTCCTCTCATTCAATTCTTGTATCTCTTCATCACGCTCTTACTGCTCTTGACTCATTGTTTTAATGCATTAGATCTACTCCATATGCTCGCAGATGATGGTCATACAGGGAACCAACCGTTCCCTACTTTTTCTCTGTTGTAGATAATTACATTTGGACACCTACATTCTAATAAATCAATTTAGACTAGTATGCATGTTTGTGTTTGCTCTTACTGGAAAAGTCTACTGAGATTTGTGTGTGTATACACCACATGAGCTCTTTTTCAGATTAATTTATCATTTCATTTTGATGGGAATTATGATGTGTCGGTGCAGTTGATCCCACCACACCATCATTCTTGGCTTTTTGAGGAATTTAACCTGTGACAGACAGATATCATGCAGAGTATATGCTTTTAGAATGGCATGCCTTCTTCCAAGTTTAGCCTTGCAAATATTACACTCTCAGGAGTAAAATATGTTCATTGAAGCTCGTCTCACTTGTTCTCTGCTTGTTGGTGCAGCATGACAATTTCCGGTTGGATATTTATGATCTCGGTTGGTTTTAATGCAGCTGCGAGGTCAGTCGATGCTCTGCTTTCCTAATTCTGCAACTGAAAACAATTTCTCATCTCTATATACTTTTATTTGTTGCACAGCTAGCTCTTGAGAATCATGATGAACAAAATCTCATAATTGTAATCTAACCACCATGATTATATTCCGTAAACAGCGACCAAACACAAGACAAATTGTAAATTACTTTTGAACAAACTAGAAATAAAGTATTGGTCTCGCTGAAACTATATATCTATTTGATTGTAGATTAGTGCATGCTGTAATATTTCTTTTCTGGTTTTGTAAGTTCATTAGCTTGTAACCACATTGTTCCATATACAGCTACTATGTGCATAATGTTTTTTTCAAAATCATTTAATTCGGCAAAATAGTGGTTGTTATTCAAGCTACATGACAATAGTAGTACAATGTTAAAGCATTAATAAGGAAGAGAGATTTTTGTAGAGCAAAAAAGGCTCTTCAGTGCATAAATAACCAACTCTCTCGACCCGATGGCATCTATTTTATGAGAGAGGTTGTATCGTCATTGAGACTGTAATCTGTAATTTCCTTTGTTAAATGCTCTTTTATTTCTTCTTATCTCGTTTTTCATTATCCTAATGAAAGTTAATCTGGAATTTTCACTCACCATGTTATTTAGAGATAAACAAAAATATGGAACAACAAGAGATTTGCAGGCAGTAAGAAAGAAGAAGCTTTCAGACATCATAACTTATTTCCAAATTGACACAGTGTACGTGTAAGCAATGAGCTTGGTGCTGGCAATCCAAAGTCGGCTGCATTTTCAGTGATCGTCGTGACCATGATGTCTTTCATAATATCTGTTATAGCAGCAGTAATCGTCCTTTGCCTTCGGGACTACATCAGCTATGCCTTCACTGAGGGTGAGACTGTTGCTCGTGCTGTCTCTGATCTCTGTCCCTTGCTTGCCATCACCCTTATCCTCAACGGTATCCAGCCTGTGCTATCTGGTAAGAAACTCTCCCCCTGTGTGTGTGTGTGTGTGTGTGTGCGCACGCGCGCGTGTATCATCACTAATCAGTTCTGTCGACTTTATGGAACAGGAAGCACTTGAGGTAGAAGAAATATATAACATGCTTAGGATCATGCAACCTTAGTTGTGTTCTCTAGTTGACATTGATTTTGAAATCTACATTGCGAATATGGAATTGACTACTTACTATCGGAGACTTCTCTTCTTCTTTTTATCATTTCTGAAAATAAACCTTAATGTGTCAACACTCTTATGTGATTGTTCCTTTATGAAAGAAAAAGAACATAGATATGATAGATGGATGACTTCATCATCTTGTGGTCAAACAACTTCGGCTTGAACCTATCCTCCTGCTTTTACATTAGGATTTAAAATCATTGTAGAGTCTGGAACCACTTGCTAATTACAATAATTCAAGCAATTTTCCAAAGACAAAAAGACCTGTAATTTTCATAGTTCTATTGATAGAAAAGTCTAATCAGTGTGATGCACATAACTGAAGGTGTTGCTGTTGGCTGTGGATGGCAAGCTTTTGTGGCATATGTCAATGTTGGCTGTTATTACATAGTTGGTGTCCCATTCGGTTCTCTCCTTGGCTTCAAATTTGGCCTCGGAGCGAAGGTAAAAGTTTATATATAAGCATCAAATTTGTCTTCCCTAATGGAATTAGGTCAACAATTATACAACTCGTTTGAACATCAAATTCTGAATACTCACATGTGTGCAGGGAATATGGGGGGGTATGATTGGTGGAACTATAATGCAGACCCTTATTCTGATGTGGGTCACTTTCCGAACCGACTGGAACAAAGAGGTAATCTTCAATTCATGGCATTTAATCTTGTTTCCGACAAGATCGTTATCGTGATCATGTCTTTGATATTGGTTGATGACCTCCTCTACCATGATAATCGACAAGCTTGATTCCAAGCATATACTTTCTGAATCGAGAGTAAAAAGATCATAGCCAATGCTTTTACTTCTCTGATCCTCGGAGATAATTGTATCAAACCTTCACCTTGAAAAGAACGTAGGCAGTGGCTCCATAACATTGAGTCTTCTTACTTTGGTTTGCATAGTTCAGTGTTATCCAATTGCAAAAAGATCGGAACTAAACCTACTTATCAAAAGTATCTTCACAAATCATATGTTTGTGTTGCTCAGAGAAAAAGGAGAATTCAAAGGTATTGCTCTGAGTAAAGCACTAATTAATACACCACTTTTATTTTTTTTGTCATTTTAGCACTAATGGCACACAAATTACCTTGTGATTTTTGCATGAGTTTGGCCAATGTTCTTTCTATCTGGTATCTCCTATTATGTAAAGATAGCCGCCACTGTCAAACGCTATGTATAAGCTATTGCAAAGAACCTTTGTTTTTGTCAGAATTTTCTATCATCTTTAAGCACCTTTTAAATCTTTGGTGTTTGGTGCCATTATCTTCTGTTATCTGACACCACGATGTGACGGTAATTTAAAATTAGAATCCCCTTTGATAAGTTAATTGCAGCTCCATTCTTCTGCCCTCCACTGATGTGTCAAAGAAATTCCATCAAGAGAAAGGAACAAACTCAAAAACAAATGTGTCAAAGAAAGATTTATAGATAGGAAGACAGAGATGCTGGTTGAAATTTGGAGAGGTTTATGATGTTCTTTGTATTAATGCAGGTGGAAGAAGCTAAGAAGAGACTGAACAAGTGGGACGGCAAGAAGGAAGAGCCCCTTCTATCCTAGCAAACCAGTGCTTGGATACCTTTTGATCTGTCAAGATCATCCTCTTTATGGCACATCAAGATCCGATCGAAGAAACCAGTTAGGTTCAGATTAAATGATGTGTGTATCTGATGTATTGAAGCATTAAAGAATGAGGTCGACGTGATCTGCTGAGAGATTGAGAGAGAGAGAGAGATGCAAAATTTATTTGTGGTTATTGTGACATCATTTCGTATCTGAGCTTTAAATCAAGTTCCATAAATCTTTGAGATTACCTTTGAACAACTTGGAGAATAAATGCATACATTTGGGCCCAATTACCTTTGAACAACTTTGGGATTACGTTTGAACAACTTTGAGATTACGTAGGATAATGAAGCTTTCCTTTCATGGGCTACATTTGGGCCCAAATTACCAATGCGTTAGACTGGTCTCTATTTAGGCCCAATTAGAGCAGCCCATACTTCTCTCTATTTATTGTGATCGCCGCCCCTTCTCGCTCGCATCCTCCGCCGCTCGCTTCTCCGGTTCGATGGCGATTCGAGCCGCCGTGTCCCGACTAAAACCCGCATCCTTCCCCTCCTCCTATACGGAACTGCTTCGAATCATCCTCGTTGCGAACTCCTCGCAGCAGCAGATAACTCGTCTTCCTCTCCTTTATTCGCCGCGGGCAAGGATCGGAGAAGGGACGACGGCGGCGCTGGAGTTGAGGCGGAAATACCACGACGGCCGGCCGAGGGGGCCGCTGTGGAGGGGGAAGAAGATGATAGGCAAGGAAGCGCTGTTCGTCATCCTGGGGCTCAAGAGGTTCAAGGACGACGAGGAGAAGCTGGGCAAGTTCATCAAGACCCACGTTCTCCGGCTGCTCAAGATGGACAAGATCGCCGTCCTTGTCGAGCTCGAGCGCCAGGAGGAGATCCATTTGGCGCTTAAGGTACATCATCTTGTTTTGATCACGCCGTGCTTGATGCTTATAGATGGATAGAGTTTGAGGGGCTCGGTGTGATTAGCTTTTGTTGAAGTTATATTTTTCTTTTTATTGCTTTCTTCCCGAAATTTGTGCTTCTGCAATTTCAGAAGTCAAGAGTAAAATACTGTTAAATTCTAGCTATATCATCTCTCATGAAATCAAAATGTGGCCTGTGTTCTCAGACCTTTTCCAAACAACAAAGAAAAGAAAAGAAATTTAGCTATATTGTACAGCTTGAAATGAGCTAATATTTGATAGTTGAGATTCCAATATGACTTTTAATTTTGAATATAAGTAAAAGGCACTCTTTCAGCTTTTCTACATATAATAGAAACTTTTTTACAAGATTTTTGGCTTATTGGCTCTGTGGTCTTTGTAAAATATTTACTCAGTTCCAGTAAAAAAGGATACATTTTAATAACCCTCGTAATATATGTTTAGTGAAGTTGTTACTTAGAACAAGATATTGGGCTCATTTGATACTGCTTATGTGTGAGACTACAACTTTATGTGATTTGTTTGATGCGACATATGTTCTTTGCAAATATTGGAATTGAGGCTTACCGAGAGCTGAAGCCCACCCATCAAAACTTGTTCTTTTTCCATTGTTTGCAACCATTAACGAAATGTCCAGAATCTGTTATCAAATATCTTTTTAGCCCACTCTTGCCGAGAAATTTCAAGTATCTTCTTAATTTAAAAAGTTTAACCCCAGTTGTAGATAAATTATATCTTTGAACAGTTTTAAGACGTAAACTTGAAGGAAAAAAAAGCAAATATTTGGAATTTCCTTCCACATATCAACTAAACTGAAGTCTACAGTTACTTGAGGGTATTGATGTTCAAGAAGTTCTTGTGTGGCTTCTCAGTTTTTCTGATAGTTATTGAATCGTTTGGGAATTCCAGTATGTTCTATGGCGAGGTAGGTACATCCTTGCTAAGCTGTTATGGATTGAGTGGATGGAGACACATCAGCTTTTCTGATAGTTATTGAATCTGATAGCTTCAGAAATTTCAGTGTCTTGAGGAAACATCCTGCTAAACAGGTTTAGACAGAGGGGACTAAAAGGTATTGTTATTCAAAGTTTGGAAGTGTGTTATTTTATTATGAGATACTAATGAAAGGGAGATAGAAGAAGGTAGGGTGTAAATATAGAATTAGAAGGTGGTATGAAAGCTGATTATTCAAAGATTGGTGCGGTGGACGTTTGTCTTGGTGCAAGAGAAAGAGATCCTTTTCATTGTTTATAAAAGGTAGTTTGTTTTTCTCAGAGATGTAGATCTAATGCACTTTTGATTCTTGTCCAACATTTTTTTCTCGCATGACCATTATCAGATCAAAATCCTGCATTTTTCTAGCGTTTGCCCTTGTTCACTATCCAGTTGAAACAAGAATCAGTTGGTTTTTGGGGCTCAATAAACAACAGTTCCATGTGGTTCTCTTCTTCAAGTGTATAACTTACACGCATCTGATAATTTCGTAATTTGATTACTGTATATGTGATTCTTTATTACCAGTAGATTAGATGGGTACATGAATAGATGAAAATGTATTTAAACTCATAAAATTTTCATCCTAGTTCTTGGTGGCATATTATTTTGAATATCGTTGACAAATATGCCATAGATATCAGAACTAATAATGGGCTCTGGCGATCTACTTGTCAGATGTTTAGGATTATACAGGAGGAGGATTGGTACAAACCAGATGTATATTTGTACAAGGATTTGATTGTAGCTCTTGCGAAGTGTAAGAAGATGGAAGAGGCCATGCAAATATGGGAGAGTATGCGGAAAGAGGAATTGTTTCCTGATTCCCAGACGTATGCTGAGGTAATCAGGGGATTTCTGAGATACGGATCACCTGCGGATGCCATGAACATCTATGAGGACATGATGAAGTCTCCAGAGCCTCCAGAAGAATTGCCTTTCAGGATACTGTTGAAGGGGCTTCTGCCACACCCGTTGCTTAGGAATAGAGTGAAACAAGATTTCGAGGAGCTATTTCCAGAGCGACACATTTATGACCCACCAGAAGAGATCTTTGGCATGAGATGAGGTAAACATTGTTGGTGTTATCTTTTTTCCGCATGCCGCTTAAGCCTCAATTATACTATAACTTTCAGCACCAAAGTGTGAGCATGTTCATTTAACTTTCAAGCTGAGATTCTGATCTGATCGATAATGTTGGGGTTATGCTATAAATAATTTCCTAAAGTTAGAACCAGTTGCACTTTTCTTTTATGGAGAAGTCTTGTTTTTGAATATTGACTTTGTTATCTCTTGTATGGTTACTATTTTTTCTCTTAAAGCATTGAATGAAATTATTCTGCATAGGGGTTCGATATTTCCTTTCTCATGCAATTATTCTTCAATTTCAGGTCATTTGCATCAATTCCATGGCAATGTGCCAATTGAGGCCTTAACCAGTTCATATGGTGAAACAATTTGCATTTGCAGCAACGGGAGAAAGTTCTGCCATGCCGCCATGTAGTTAAACAGCAACATGAAGTGTCATTCTGCAGTTGTTTTCCCTTTCTCATGATATCTGTATTAACCACTGCAGCTGATCCGCTAGCAATAGTTGATCCATCTGTATCCATTTAGACACTTCCATGTGAGAATGCATTGTCATAAAACTCTGTGACCAATGACCCAAATTTTAGAATTGAAGTGTATGGTAGCCATGACATTCAACAATGCAGACAAAGGTCCCATGTTGGGTGTTAATCAACATTGCACAAGAATCTCTTTCTGTCTGATGTAACTGCTTAGCTATCTGTTTAAGCTTGTCAGTATGTGATATTAGGCAGTATTGCTGCTTGCTATGGGAGATGACAAACATCAACAGTAAAAATAGAACACTCCATTTATTAGATGTGATCTCGAGAAGATGTGAGGTATGCAAGGTTATGCCAATGAGTAAAACCCACATATCTCTCAGGGAATTGTTCTCTTTATTCTTCTCTTTAAGACTATTATGTATGGCATATCCACTCTCATCCCATGACTGCACCAAATGGTCTCACAAGTATTGATGCTGTCTCAGTTCTCGAAATATTTGTTTAGGCCCCTTTTTAACAACGGAAAATTGTTAAAAGAAGGGAAAGGAAGGAAGGAAGTATTGATATATTCTCAACTTTAAGTGCACGTTAAAAGAAATAGTACCTTAAGAGCAAAGTAACGAAGTTGACTTCGAGACGGGAAGCATAAGTTCTTGCGGTGACGGAGGCGTCGACCTCTGCAAACTTCGACCTTTGATTCCCACGCTCCCATCTCCTTCCATAGCTGAAAGCAAAAGGCGAGACAGAGGCGAGAGAGGCAACGAAGCCAACGTCATGGTGTGCACTCTCCCTCGTTGAGTGCCTTCTTCTTCTTCTTCTTCCTCTTCTTCTTCTTCTTCTTATCATAAATCTCCTATTTCCAGAAATCTCTGAGACTTCTTCGAAATAAAAACCATGCCTTGGACGACACAAGTCAGCAGTGGCAAGGGAGATGGTGTCAAGGTGGGCACAACCGGCAGAGTCGGCACGCTGATGACGCAGGAGATGGAATGCGTCAAGCAAGCATCTCGATGTTCTTCTCACCATTCACCAAGAAAACAGCGAGCAGAAGCAGTTTCAGTAAGCTGTGATGCTGTCCCAAGTAAAGCCTTCAAATGGAGAAAGCCACCGAGTAAACATGGCAGCAGCAGCAATGGGGTTGCTCAACGCCGAAGAAGATGCGGGCCTCATGTTCCGATGCTACGAGGTGATGACGGCCTCATGGAGGAAGATGTGAAGAGTGATGAGGTGGAGAAGAAAGGAGTGTGCAGGCTGGAGGTGATCGATCTAAAGTGCCGTCTGAGCAAGTTCGGCTTCTCCAAACTCTGACTCACGTACGCCATGTTTCTGATAAGCATATGAGAAAAATGCTCTAATTTGTGAAGCTTGAATCAAAAATTCAAAAACAAGGGGGCATTCCGAGAATCGAACTCGGGACCTCTCGCACCCAAAGCGAGAATCATACCACTAGACCAAATGCCCTGTTTGGTATCAGTTTCACAAAATTACATATTTATAGAAATATACATTCAACAGTGACCTTATTTAGCTGCGAGCTACCAAAATGCCTTGAGACGGAAATCGCAGATGCAACAGCCAACAGCAAAGATCCAAAACATAGTGCATCACTGGGGATATGAATTCAGGCAGTAACATGAACAACAAATATGAGGACAAGAAGAACGGCAGAGATCTCAAGCTGATGGACCATCTCCCTGAATCTGTTCAACAATCATACAATTACATGGGCTACTCCCGAAGAAATAGACAGTCCTCGATTGATATGCGAAAATTATAGTGAGAGAAACTATTCATGTAAGAAACGCCGTCCTTCATAATAGCTCAAAATTCTTTGGACAGGTTGATACATTATGAGCATCTTATTTAGCAGAGTCCTCTAATCTCCGATCGAGAACAATGATCTCGTACAACCTGGATCAGCAGTACTGTGTAGGAACTAGATAGTTTCCGCTATCGATTACAGTTCTGAGATGTTGCTCCTCTTTCTAGGCTCGGGCAAGATTCGTCTCCCATCCGTAATAGCACTAGGCAACCTACATTGGAGCTTCATTAGGATCGGAACTGATACAGGTGCAAGAGCCTCTGCTTGGCCTGCAGCACCGAAATCAAGATGCATATAATTACTGTTGATCCAGAATTGCATGTTTCACAAGCAAAAGTACAAGGTAAAGGGTCAACTTGTATCTAAACAGGAGCTTCATTCATGCTGATCGGATTATGTGGTTTTAATCCATAGCATATTTTCTGTCACACAAGTAACATATATGCAAATATTTCCTCAGTTCACAGAAGTTCGATATTTTGATCCTATCTAATGCCCAAAGGTCGGAAAAGCTTAAGGGCATTGGAGGTGGGCTTCCTAATTTTCAGTTTACTTGGATAAATCTAGTTATCTAATCGAGCCTTCCATTTTTCTTGGAGATTTCCATTGTTTTCTATTTTCAATACTAGGAATAATATTTTCACCATTGTTATTTGTTCATGTCCTAAGAGAATATCAGAAAATCTCAGTAGAAACATGTTTAGCATCAGCAACTCTATCCATTATTAGTCAGAAGCTAATTGATCACTGAAACAATTTACTGCAAAGGAATTATCACTTGTTTACTCATACGACATGCAATTTTTCGCATTGCACATGCAGATGAATTCAACCAGGGAAACTTCATGCTGAATTGTTTTAGCAAGTTCATCGGTTGTGTCCGAGAGGAGGACCACCAAGCTTGAAGAGGGAATATATACAGAACCCACACAATGCTGTGCTGCCCTTGTCACCAACGTAAAATATAGCTAAACATGCATGAATCTCAGGCTCCATGATAAGGTTATATTGCTTCATCGATCAGGCTGCATTAAGTTGTGAGATAGAAGAATCACTTGCAAGTATTCTAGATGGCTTCTAGTTCAGGTAAAAATTGTCCAAGATTTTGTTCCTCCAGAAATATGAAACCACAGAACATGAAATATTTAGATAAAGAAAGAAGAATTTACCTGGGAATATAAAAAAGTTCCAAGAATGGCAATTGCAGCTCCAAGGGCATTGATGGGTTGGACCGGTGTATGGAAGATTATGATGGAAGAGACGATAACAGAGATCCGCTTCATGGTGTTACCAATGCTGAATGCCAATGGAGACATTTCATCCAATGACATGTAGGAAACTTGGGTATACAAGTGGTAGATCACACCTTGTGCCGTCACCCACCTGATCAGATACGAGTCACATAAGCCGACTGCGTTAGCTACAATTTCATCATTCTAAAATGTCTGACAAGCAAATGCACAATTATTTTAGCTATTCACTGATCAGAGAAGATGATCTAAACCAAGTGGAACATTGTTTTCTCAAGATTTTTCATGTTTTTTCACGGTATAAAAATATTTGTCAAGTACATTATCGTATGAGGTCATAGAAATTTAAAGGGTTAAGCGAATCAACTGACTCTGCTCTACTTCTCCAACACAACAACAAAACAATAAATTCCAAATAGCGACAATTGTATCCGAATTAATGAAATCGCTAACATATATATACGAGAGAGTAAACAAATTAGCAGACAAAATGGGGACTGATCCGTGAGATCGCCTTCTGCCAATCAGCTGCCCACATCTGTGGACCTTCCACCGCGATCACAAATGGTGTAAGTATCAGCAGAGATAGCATAGACAGGCAGGCATAGTAGTTCATCCCACTAACAGACTTCCCATTAATTTCTCTCTTAGAGAAAATATTCCGAAACACAAATGCAAGGTTTGATATCATTGCACCCAAAACACCTGCAATCACAGAAGACAAGGGTGAAAAATCTTTCAGGAACTGTAAACACTGAGGAGGCATCAGAATTGTGCATGATAAAGCTTTGAATTAAGGTAGTAGACAAATTGGAACAATCAATACAAGGAAGAACACAATGTTCCACTGCAGTATAGCTAAATAAGATAACAACAGAACATTAAGCTACAACATAAGAGACATGGAGGACATCAATATCAGCAAATGACATCACAGGAGCTAAAAATTTGTGGTAGAATCTAATCTATGCTGAGCGTGAAAAGATCTCAAATTTTCTTCAGCTATCGATCTTACCCGTCATATCAAAATTCAGCTATGTCACTGCTGCCAAAGCGCAACCTCCGATGATCGGCACCAGCGACAGATAAACTGAAACAGGAAACCTCGACACCAGCACGCTGAATGCCGGCTCCCCGCTCTTGATTATGTGGGTGAAGGACGCTGCCACCTTCGACATGCTAACCGTGGCCGCCACATGTCCAATGGTGTGCGCCACCGCCACCTACAGTCTATATCAAAGCTTCCATCGTCAGAATCCATGGAAGAAGGTGGGTGATTTGGTTAAACCCTAAAGACCTTCTAGAACACTAGTTTTTCTCAGCGGAGCGAGGGATTTCCAGAACTCCAAGTCGGTCTTGGGCGCCTCGGCGACCTTCGCGGCCCAGGAGAGGAGCATTATGAGGGAACCGGCAGCGAAGGCGAGGGTGGAGGTCAGCCAAGGGTTCGGGAAGGCATTGAGGACCTTCTAGTTGTAGATGTTCGCACCTCGTTCAGCGCCCACCACGTCGCGGAGTAGAAGCCGATCTTGAGCTTCTGCGCCGCGGCGGAGCGCGCCTCGTGGTCCGTGAACGAGATGTTCTCGTGCCGATCGGCCTCCAGCAGAATTGCATATTATACACAGTATATTTAGCTATCTTTATATTTTAAAAAATTATATTAAAAAAATAAAATTTCTAAATCCACTTATCTTAAAATCATCGATTTTCACTACAGAAATATAAAAATAAAAAAAATAAAAAAATGATATTAATACTTCAGTTCACGACAACGAACGATGTCGATAATAACAAACGATGACATCAGAGAAAAACAACAATAAGAGATAACTATTTGACATAATAAGTGGATCGCATAAATATTAAATTATGAGGAATGTCTTATACAAAATAAACTTCATTGATTTTTACGATCGAATGCTATGATGAGGATATAAACTAAAATAATCATGAATTATTATCATCATAAATAGTTATTTATGATAAACTATTAAATTATAGTATACATTTATTGTCATGAGATGACAATGAAGATAAGCGATAAATGTTATATATATTTATATATTTTCAAGTTAATTCTCTGAACCAATAAAGGGATGGTATTTAAGTCGATCAAGATGGAGGCAATAAGATAGTGTGAGTGATAACCTAGTAGTAGCATCATAGGGAGGATTATAGAGAAAATATATTATCATATGATTTTTTTGGATAACGTACTATCCTCCTATGAAAAATATAATATTGGATGATAAATTTATGACTCAACACATATAACGGTATTTAAGTCCACTAAGAATATTGTCCACAGGTGTGGTTGATTCTCTCGGGCTTAGTACGACTATCTTATTATTATTATTTTTAAATAAAAAATATGACATATGATATATGTATGCAAAGAAAAAAAAATCAACACATAAGAATAAAATTGCATAATGAATGAGATGAATTTGAATTGTTTCATATTTTTGCACTTATTATTTTGCTCGTGTAAAATGCGTGTCTTGTTTTTTTTGATATAATATGAATAGTTATAATATGTTTGAACTCTTGCTTACTGTTGTGGCTCAGTTCGGATCCGGACGACGGGGACCTCCTTGGGGCGTTCCTCGAGCCCGCTGAGGCGGTCGGGTGCGGTGTCCGATCGGGACAGTATAGCCGTCTCCTCCGGGAAGGAACTCCTCGCCTGCGCGTCCGAAGGGGACCTTCGGCTTCGCACCTGCACAAAGGTCGGGCCGGGGTCCTCGGCCCAACCCCTCCGACGATCAAGTTAGCAGATGTGGAGGGGGTTTTAGATGAAGAAGTGTTTTTGTGTCTGTCTCTCCTCCCCTCTCTCTGATGAACGAGAGGGTAATTATAGGGAAGCTTACTGCTTCCTAAGCTGCCCGCTTGCAGGGGGCAGGCTGGTAGCGTCTGACTTTGTGTTGGCTTGGCGTGAAGAATTGAGCTTTGGCAGGATGTTAATGCACCTCGGTCGGCGTTCCGGTTTGCATTGACCAGGTGCTGTTGCGTGATGCGTCATCTGACGTCAGTCGAGTCTTATCATAATTACTATCCTCATCATATTCCCCCCCGGAAAGAAGCTATGCGTCGGTCGTTGTAACGGGAGTCTGAGGCATGGGTTCAGCTTTCAGGTGGGCTGACCGCGTAAGTGTGTCTCGTGTCATGGAGTCGAGGAGCACGACGCAGGCGGGCTGGCCGCGCAAGTGTGTCTCGGGGAGCATAGAGCCGAGGAGCACGACGCAGGCGGGCTGGCCGCACAGGTGTGTCTCGGGGCATGGAGCCGAGGAGCACGACACAGGGGGGCTAGCCGCGCAGGTGTGTCTCGGGGAGCATGGAGCCGAGGAGCACGACGCAGGCAGGCTGGCCGCGCAGGTGTGTCTCGGGGAGCATGGAGCCTAGGAGCATGACGCAGGCGGGCTGACCGCGCAGGTGTGGTCTCGGGCATCATGCGGCCGAGTAGCACAACGCAGGCGGGCAGACCGTGCAGGCGTGGTCTCTCTGGCCTCATGCGGCCGAGTAGCACGATGCAGGCGTGGTCTCGGGCATCATGCGGTTGAGTAGCACGACACAGGCGGGCAGACCGCGCAGGCGTGGTCTCGGGCATCATGCAGTCGAGTAGCACGACGCAGGAGGGCAGACCACGCAGGTGCGTCTTGGGGCATGGAGCAGAGGAGCACGACGCAGGCGGGCTGGCCGCGCAGGCATGGTTCGGGCATCAGGCCGCCCTGAGGGGGGCTCGGCAGTCTATGGCCGAGGGACACGGCTTAGGCGGGCAGGCCGTCCTGAGGTAGAACTCGGGCAGTCTACGGCCGAGGGACACGGCTCAGGCAGGCAAGCCATGCTGAGGTGGACTCGGCAGACTTCGGCCGAGGGACACAGCTCAGGCGGGCAGGCCATGCTGAGGTGGACTCGGCAGACTTCGGCTGAGCCGTGTAGATTCAGAAGGATTTAGGCCGGGGCTAACCGCGAACCGGGAGGTAGTCAGGTAGATACTGAACCTTCGCTCAGAAGAGACTGGGGCAGGGCCTAAATTTCTTTTCACGAGGACTACATCGGATAGCCGTCGTGGGTGCTTGACCCCTTCTATGGAGCCCGCTGCCAAAAGTCGCTCCTTCTCCTCTCGGCCGCCCAGGCCTCTACCGCGATGTACTGGTTAGCCTGCTGGAGCATCTCTGGCACCATGGTGGGGGGTCGCTCCACGAGGGACCAGAGGAATCTGGAAGGTCACAGGCCTATTATAAACGCCTGCACCAACAGAGAAGGGTGAGTGTCCGGCAAACCCCGGATTTGCGTGGCAAAGGGACCCACAAAATGTGAGAGGGGCTCGTCCTCCCTTTGTTTGAGTCCAAGGAGCAGTGCTGCGGAGGGCTTTGGCCATGCATAGACTACGAAGTGGAGCTCGAAGTCATCGGCGAGCTGGTCGAAGGAAGCAATCGTTCCGGTCTTCAAGCTGTCATACCACGCGTGGGCCGGCCCTCTCAGAGTGGTAGGAAACGCTCTGCACATCAGGGCATTGGAGGTTCCGTATAGCGCCATTTGGGCGCGAAAAGCGGCTACGTGGTCCGTCGGGTCGGCAGAGCCATCGTAAGTGTCCAGAGAGGGGAGCTGGAAGTCCGGGGGGACTGCCAGATCCCGTATCTCGGGCGTGAAGGGAGACCCTTGGTGTGCGTCCTCCCCGAGCTCTCCCTTGGACATTGGAACCTCTTTCTGCACCCCATCGAGTCGTTGGCTGACGAAGCGCAACTGGGCCCGCAGGGAGTCCAAAGAGAGTGCCTCGGGTTCCAGGCGACCACTCAAGTTTGCCATCACTGGATCCCCGAGTGGGGTCGGTCGGACCCGAGGCGAAGTGGGGGGCTCCGGAAGCGTCATGTGGGCCCGAACGGGCGCCTTGCGTTGTCGTAGTGGTTCGATCGCAGGCGGGTGCACCGGATGAGAAATGAGCGGGATAATGGTTTGCACCATTTCCATCAGGGCTCAGACTTGAAGAGCGAGGTCCTGAAAGGCCTGGACAACACGAGCGTTGAGTCGGTTGGGGCGCCGTTGGGCGGCAGCAAGCCCGGGTCGTTGAATATTCGCCAATATCGTTCAGAGGTCGTGGCGGGGTGTTCGTCACGATGGTCTCTATGCGAGGGAGGTTCCCCCGAGGCTTCGGTCGGGTGTGACCTCTCAGCCGTGGGCTCATCTGAGCCGCTCGGGTGGTCACCCGACATTCTGGGCCCTCCTTCTAGCGCCAATCTTTTGTGGGAAACAACTTTGAGTCGTGGCCTCGGGGCCGACGCGGCTCGGTTCGGGTCCGGACGACGGGGACCTCCCTGGGGCGTTCCTCGAGCCCGCTGAGGTGGTCGGGTGCGGTGTCCGATCGGGACGGTGTAGCCATCTCCTCCGGGCAGGAACTCCTCGCCTGCGCGTCCGGAGGGGACCTTCGGCTTCGCACCTACATAAAGGTCGGGCCGGGGTCCTCGGCCCGACCCCTCCGACAATCAAGTTAGCAGATGTGGAGGGGGTTTCAGATGAAGAAGTGTTTTTGTGTCTATCTCTCCTCCCCTCTCTCTGATGAATGAGAGGGTATTTATAGGGAAGCTTACTGCTTCCTGAGCTGCCCGCTTGCAGGGGCAGGCTAGTAGCGTCTGACTTTGTGTTGGCGTGGCGTGAAGACTTGAGCTTTGGCAGAATGTTAATGCACCTCGGTCGGCGTTCCGGTCTGCATTGACCAGGTGCTATTGCGTGAGGCGTCATCTGACGTAAGCTGAGTCTTATCATAATTACTATCCTCATCACTTACCCACTCCACTCTACGAGAGGGAGACATGCATATTTACTGAGTATTGGTCATAAATATTCATCTTTTTCCCATCTTTATAGATAATTTATGGAAGAATGAATATACGATTGATCTTGGGTTGAATATTCATCTTGGAGTAGCACTTCGCATGTGTATTATATATTAAAAATCTTAAATAAAAATATAATTTGGATATATAAAATAATTAAGTGATATTTTGATGATACAATATTTTTTTTATTTTTATATTAAATAATTTTTTAAGTATTATGATTGTTATTTTTATAGTTATATATAGTGTTGATAAGATTATTTAGTTCAGACCCAAGAAATCATAAGTCCATCGGTTCTTTTTTTTTTTTATCTGTACCAATGTACGAATGATCGATCAATCAAATTGTCCGGCACTGGAACGAAGACTCCGACGAAACTCTTGTCATCGTTTGGACGAAGGATCACATCTCGACTTTGGGGACGCGACAGGGTGAGAATTAAATGCGATTGACGGTGAAATCGTTTGTCGTGTTCTCTGAGAACAAACACGGGGTATTTGCATTCCACGATATCGAGGAGGGAAGGGTGCGCGAGATACCCGTCTCTTACGAGAAAAGCCATGCCGCGACTGCTAAAGAAGCCCGTGAGAAGAGCAAGACGACGATGGCCCAATGACACAGTAACAACGGAGGAGCACAGCAAAGAGCTGCCTCG